CAAAGCATATAATAAACAATTCTTAATCTTCAGAACAGAGGCTTGGGGTGCCCCCTACACAGTATTTTTGTCTGCCAGAATGGCCTCTCTGCCCATGTCAAGCTCACTTTATGTGTACATACTTCAAGTTCCCTATTTTCTTTCATCTGCCTCTTTGGTAAACAGACAGAAACTTCCTCTGCCTGATCTCTCTCTGACATACTGCAAATTTAGCTCAGACACCAGCTGGCTGTGTGTGTCTCTGGCTATTCATAGAAAGGAAGGGTTTACCTTCCTTCCTTCTGGAGAAACCTGTGACTTTTCATGGGTCCGAATCTATTTTCAAAGGGCTGTTTGGAATCGAGCTACTGTAATGGGAAAAGGTCTTTTTTGTGATACTTGAATAATCTTTTAAAAAATACACTGATGAGTCATGTGTGTTTCTCATGTGTGTTGACCATACTGTGCTTGCTTTTGAATGATTTTCTCCTCTTGCATTCATGGGTGTTGTAAAGACCGCCATGATCATCTATCCGCTGTTGGTCATCACGGAGCACCCATGGGAGCAGCAAGTAGCTGTGAACACAGAAGAGCAGAACGCTCAGTTAGCTCAGCCACTGTGTCTGTCTGAATGCCACTCTGGTCCTGGCCTGGTCCTCGATTCTAATTTTGATCCAGAAACAATCCCTAAGTCAGCCTGTAAGATATAGGCTGACCTGGAGGTCTGCCCCTGGGTTTCCGAAGCTTCCAGATAAGCTGGAGCCAGTAGGGTTTCTAGGGAGTCCTGGACAAGATGTACTTATTTCCCAATTCAGAAGCGATTTTTTCTTGTCAGTTTAGATTTCCTGCCCAGGGCAGTTTGGAATTGGGTGAGTTTCAGGGCAGTATTCGAGAAGACATTTGTCTCATCACTTTTGGTAATTTTCATAAATAATTTAACATCACAGATATCACTAATTGCCACTTCCCTGTTACTATTTTTATTCGGATGCCCTAGATTTGGAAACTGGTAACTGGACCGTAAGTTTCTTTAGGGTGAGGATGGGATGTTTTTAATTTTGTATTCCTAACATCCGCCACAATGCCTAGGGTATAATAACTTCTCAATAAAGGTCTATGTCTAGAACATATGGTAGAATAAATGGTTCTAAAACGTATCCCAAGGTCACTGTCCTTATTTTTTCTTCTCCTGTCCTTCTTGTTTACTCTTCTTGTTTTCATCTCTCTTAGACCAAAGTTTTAGATGATTGCCAGCATCATGTGTTTGTACTGCTTTCTGAAACTCTTCCTACACACTCCTTCCTCAAATTTTGTTCATTTAAAAAGAAATAATCTTTTTTTCTTCTTGAGCTTTGTCTTTCGTATCTTAAATTATTTTAAACATTATTCATAGCTCTGATTCTTCTGTTATCTCAAGTTCTTTCTGGTTGTTATGGCTGCTGATTCTTGCTTCTAGTTAATTGCTTCCACATGGGTCTTGCAGCTTAGGCTTGTGAGCTCATCTTCAGTGGTGGTTTAATTGTGGGTGTCCTGAGTTGCTTGTATTGAAGACACATCTCTTTAGACAGGTTTTGTTTCTTCTTCTTGACACCCTATGGATGTCCTTGGCCTAGAACCAATTTTATGCCTATTTTTCAGCTTGAAAGTTCCTGGACTGTGCAGGTATTGTGAATTCAAAACCCCAAACCACATGAGGACAGATTCTGGGAATGCAAATGCTCAGTGGAGACACTTATTCTCTCATCAGGAATCTAGGCCAAGTCATTGCCTTTCCATCTACCTGTGAGAGTGTTTGGCTTTTTTTCAATATCAATTCATTTCAAGAATCTTTCTTCAAGACCACTTCAAGGATTTTTCTCTATGTGAGGGTGTCAGTTCTAGTTCTTCACCTCATCTCCCATCCCCAAGTGCTGGGCAAATCATACAATCTCTCCAAATGCGCAGATTCCCTAGCTTTTCAATCTAAAAAAAATCACTATCTTTCAAATGATGATAATAAGCCTTAACAACAAGGTTCTGAGAGATGTGTCTCTCCTTGTAGGGATGTTATGAGATTTGAGTAGTAGAATAGATAAAAGGCAGTTTGAAAAAAAAAAAATTAAAGCACTCTATAATTAGGTTTTGTTTCTTCTTCTAGAAACCCTAGGGGTATCATTGGCCTAGAACACATTTTTACTAGTATTATTACTAGTATACTCTTTTCCTCAGACTCATTTCCTTCCTTCTACCATTACATCTCCTTGTCCATTTGTCTAGCTTGTGGCCAAGTAGAGTGGCCTTATCCTTAGGCAGAGGATGAGCTGCAACCTCCCAGCTGATTTGACCTGATTGAGGATGGTGATTACTGTGGCTCTGTTATTCTCCGCGCATGACTCTGTATATCACTCAGGTTCCTTGCTAGAGCGCTGGCGTTGGTAACCCTTGGTCAGTAGTTATTGTTTAGTTAAGTGCTTTGCTTTTTTAGTTGAGGTCTTAGCAGCACATGAAATTGTTTATATAGTTGTGATACTTTGGAGAACCAAAGAACTGCTGCCTGAATACAGATCTTCTTTGTAGTTACATGTGTGTGGCATGCCACTGAATGAGGGTATCAATTGGTATAGTTGTTCTGGAAGCTACAGGAAACCTTTAAATGCATGTCAACAGGAACACTGGTAGTACCAATCAAGAATTTTTACTTTGTGATCTCACATAACACACCCCTTTTATGTTATAAAAACTTCAGTTTGAACAAGCCATGTCATAAAAGGGGCCACAGAATTAACAAAGCCAGTCTTATAATAATAGGCCAACCAGTTTTAGATATTGGGGTTTTCTTGGCTTTTTATTTGAGGGCCAAGCTCTCAGACAGAGCATTGACTTTGCTTCAGGTCAAATGAAGTAATCATTTGGGCTGGTTAGTCCTTGTTTAAATCACTTAGGTAAGGTTTAATTTGTTGAACCAAACCCTGGAACCAGTTCAATTGACAGAAGAACATATAATTATGTAACTTTTGTCATAAGACTCAAGAGAAGTGTTTCATAGATATAGTGGGGATTCAAAGAGAATATGAGGCTAAGATGAAAAGTGCTTGTAGAGATGGCAATAGAAGAAATAGAAAGAGAAAACATTTGTGAAAGTCTAGTGTCAGTTCTTTGTATAGTTCTCTGTGCCAATTAATACACTTGAAATATTTTTCAAATTTTCAAATACTGAATCTCTATTTTCATGGAAAGTGTGACATAACTATAAGACGGTGAACGATGGTTGTATATCTTTCAGAATTTTCTGTGGCATACCTTTACTTTATATGGTATAGTTACATGACTGCCCTATTTCCACTTATCTGTAATAATTGCCTGCAACATACATAGATGACATAAATTCCCAGCTAATTCAGACTTCTTTTTTTTTATCCACTTAAAAGTTAGTCCAACCTTTCATGAAACCTGTTTACCAGACCTCCTAACAAATAGACTGGTTTGAAGATCAGTTCTTGTCATATCTTCTGTCTGCCATCTGTTTTAGATATTAATGAGTCACAAAATGCCTAAAAGCAGTAGTCTGAAGGAGACTGACAAAGAGCAGAGGGCCTGAACTGTCAGAAAACAGAATTGTGTCCTTGGGCAAATCCGAGGGTGGTTGGGTAGGTTGTATAATCAAGTGGTAACAGGAACAATGATTAAAATCAACAGCAGCTTCACAAATCTTGAAACTAAAATGCATGCTAGTTTTAGGAGAAACCTCAAAGACATAGCATACAAACTTTGGTTACCGTTGTGGAACAGTCAGGGAAGTTTATAGAAGAAGCAATGCTCATAGACCAGTTCAGTTTGGCTGATTTATGCCGAGCATCTAGTTTGCTGCTCCTGTGGGCTCTGATAGAGAGGAGTAAGACCAGTTCTTTACCCTGTGGAGTTCTTAGTCTTGGGGGCAAGATATCACACAACTATCTATGCTCATGACAAAACAGCTTTGCCTGGAGCACTTGGTGTGCAGGGGCCAAGCTTCATGCCTGCCTAGGGCTTTATTTACTGACATTATCTTGAATTCTCTCATCAGATATTCCAGTTTACAGATGGCCGAAGCAGTAATTTCCCCCCCTGCATTTTATCGTGTTAACAACACAATATATTAAATGCTTTGCCAAGGACTTAGACTGAAGACACATAGGCAAAAGTCCAATCTTGGCTCTGCTATATACCTATGGGGTCGGGAGGAAATTTCTTAATTTATCTGAGCCACAGTTTTCTCATCTGTAAAACAGAGATAGTAATATCTACCTCAGCTCTCAGCTTCAATGTCAGTATTCTCAGAAAGGCCTTATTCCACCATTCTAAGGAATCTTGTTCCCACCTCCCTGGTCACTGGATCCCATTACCCTGTCTTAGTTTTGGGATAGCCTTTATCACCATCTGAATTGATGTCATGTGCCATTGGTTTCCATGACTACTGACAGCCTCCCCACTTGAATGTAAATTTATGAGGGCAAGGACTGAACCCCAAATCTGGTTCGTGGCACATAGTAGGCATTCAGTAAGTGTTACATGAATGGGTGGTGAACTAGGCAACAGTTAACAGAGATGGAAAGGAGAAGCTGACTGTACTTAATGTTTAATGTCCTTATGAACAATTCCACTATGTTCCTTTAGAAAGAAAACAAATCATTGCATGCTTTGAACACTGCTATTAAGGTAGGTAAAAGGGTTTGAGTTTTTGTTTTTGGTTTTTTACCATAAGGAAGGTCTCAAAATAAATTGAATTTCATCATCCGTTGCATGATAGTCTGTCCCTGACCTGAGCTGGGCTCCAACAAAAGGAGCCCGGAGACAAATACAACACACAGACACAGAATGGGATCTTTTGTACATGTGACTGTGGGAGATGCTGAGAGAAATGTGTACCCAGAGCTCACCTGAATAGGTTCTGGCCTTCACTCTCTCCCACAAGCATTAACCTCAGAGCGAATGACGTGTCTTATTATGCCTACTGAAGGTACCTCTAGCCTCCACTGACTTGTTTATCTTTGCCATTGTTTCAGGATTCTGAGAAGCGAACCCCGCTTCATGTGGCTGCGTTTCTGGGAGATGCAGAGATCATCGAACTCTTGATTCTGTCAGGTAAATACCCGCTGTACTTAAAAGTCAATTGCAGATGAAAATTTAAATGACCAACTCACTAGATCGACTACTACAGTGAACCCAAACTAATTTCTTTATTGTGCTTGTGAAAGTGTATTTGATCAGTGAAATCATCATTAGACAAAAAACAATGCAAGAGGTTGTTCTTAGTGAAAAATGACATCTTCAGTAAAACATTTATATTGCCTTGGAAGTCTGATTTCTGACTAATCAGGCCCAGTATTATGAATTCAGTAGATTTGAATATCTTTTCATTTTTTCATTGTTAAAAAAAAATGAACAAACAAAACTGATTCCTTAAAGCCTGCACAAACAAACACCAAATGTACGTGTGTATTTACATACATTTAAATTGTGTGGCAAGACAATACTATGTTTTGTCGTTGGATACCTGACTATGACTATGTAATAAAACATGGAAGGAAAGGAAACATATCAATTTCCAGATAATTGTTACCCCTGAGGAGGCTGGCTGGGTGAGAGAGATTTTCAGGGAAAGGTGAAAAAGAGACTATAACTCTGTAAAATATTTTATTTAAAAAAGATTGGAAGCAGATATAGCAAACATGGTTTTGTGCTATTATTCTCTTTATTTTTTTATGTATTTTAAATGTCTCATCGGATTTAGAAATGTCACTGCTTTCATTTTTGGAAAACTGCGTGCTTGGTACATCTCACCAAACTGGTTTCCAAAACCAATATGTGCTTTCTCCCTTGAGTATTTGCTAGACAAATCCCCAGAATGAATCTGAGCTCATGCAACGTGTCTCCCTGTGGATTGCAGCCCGGCTGGCTTTTCCTCTCCTCCTTTTTGTCTAGGGAGATGAAAATCTGGAGGAAATACCTCTGCCCACAGACTATGCAAAATGCCTGTACTAAGGTTTTGCCTTTGTTTGCTGTAGTAAAGGGAAACTGAAGAATTCCAAAGTAAACTATGCAAAGGTAGGAGCTAATGCATGTATTCAAATAGATGTCAGGAACACTGTAGGAAAAAAACCCAAGAATTGTGCTGTGATACACCCAGATGATTCCCGTTGCCCTTATTTTTGTTGTGTTCATGTTCTGGAGGTGGCTTTTCCCAGGAAACAAGTATTCTGTGCCATACAATGCGTGTGCCCCATGCTCTTGACAAGTGCGTGGAGCTTAGGTTAGATTTTGTGTGGCATTCCTGTGCTTTCAAGAACAGGCCTTCCTTCTGACAATTTTATTTTATTTTATTTATTTATTTATTTATTTTTTAAAGATTTTATTTATTTATTTGACAGAGACACAGCGAGAGAGGGAACACAAGCAGGGGGAATGGGAGAGGGAGAAGCAGGCTTCCCGCGGAGCAGGGAGCCCGATGCGGGGCTCGATCCCAGGACCCTGGGATCATGACCTGAGCTGAAGGCAGACGCTTAACGACTGAGCCACCCAGGCGCCCCCCTTCTGACAATTTTAAAGATGTTCCAGGGCTTTGTTCCAAACAAACATGTATTGTTCTGTGCTGGCACAGACTATGGCCAAGAGCCAGTACACACCTGGCTGGTGGCCCCGGCAGTGGAAATTTGGTCCATGGAAGGTTGTAGGCAGAATCAGTGGGGGTGCAAAATAAAGAATTTTGTGGGATGACACTGAAGTGGTCCCAGCCATCCAAATGTATTAAGAGACATCTCAGAGTCTCAGAGGAATGCTTAGTTCATGAATGTGCAAATTCAAAACTTTGTGTTAGACCCCCAACTTTGGTTTTTTGTTTGTTTGTTTTCCCACTTCTGAAGGAAGATTTTAATTCTGCAGCATGAAGTTGACCCATCTGTTTTCCTCAGGCATCTGTGGGCTGGTGACTTTCGAGCAACATAGTTTCACTTCACCTTCATGTGAGATGGAGTCCACCAGCCTCTCTTATGTGGGGTTCATCCAGTAGAGCCTGGAGAAATTGTTCCATAGATATTGATTGGCACACCTGTTTGGTCTTGGAATTACTGAGCTGTTAGCCTCTCTGGTATAATTTTGGATGGCACATGCTATGAAATTTGTCTTCTTCCTCATATCAAATTAGGAAGGCTTAGGGTATGGGAGAGCATTGGGGGAAGTGCTTTAGAAATTTTACTCAACTGTGGAAGCTTAGACAAACTCTTGGAATTCACATGGCTTTAATTTCCCTGAAAGGTCCTTTATTCAATTTGTATATTAAATTCCTAAAGAAATACCATCACAAGAGCATGATGATTTCATTTCTGAGCTTACATCTGGCAGCTGACCCTTCAGGGAATCCAACCAAACTGTTTTCCAGTTTAATAATGAATGAGGTGCTAATGATTCCCATGTTGGACAAATAATTTGGCCTTGCCAGAATAGCCCATACAGCTGTGTACTCCATTGTTGTATTAACTTACGGAGCGTGGTGTAACCCAAGCCCACTAAATTCCTCCTGACATTATCTCCTAGTAGCCAGGCGGATGGAACCCTGAATGCCTCTGAGTAGAAAGGGACGAATTCAGGCTTTGAAACTTTCCTCTTCTTATGACTGCCAGTTCAAATTCTGGCTTTATTTCCGCCCCCCCCGCCCCCCCACCTCTGGCTTCTGTTTGGGAACCAGCCGAGTTAGGATTCAGGCGAAGAGAAGGTTAAGAGTTTGCTAAATCATTTGCTGGAGATGCATGAATGAGATCAGGTGAACCAATCAGTGGCTAAGAGTTAAGAGACCAGGGTTGAGCTCCAGGAAGCAGAGCACACGGGACAATGGGCACAGTGACAGGGCCCTATAGAGAAACCTGGGGTGAACAAGGGTTCAAGTGCTGGGCTGAAGGAAGAAAACTGGCAGTACCCACCTTCTAACATGCTGAGTGTTTGTGAGGTGTAACTACTAATTAAAAATGATATTTATTAGAACATCGACCACAAAACGAGTGGTATTCCTGTAAAATTATTTCCTATGATTTGTCAAAAGGTAATTACCATTCTCAATGCAAAGTATTGTCAGAGCAGGTGGCAGGTCATTCTTTTGATTCTTTTATGCATAACAAATATTCATCCTTTGCTGTTGGATTTGATTTGATTTTTTTTTTTTAATCTGGTGAAAGAGGGGTGATTAAACCAAGTAATGCTGGTTTGGGCGCCCTCAGTGTGGTGTGATTATGAAGTAATGAGACATTTTCTGGTGGGTGTGTAAACTGGTTCTAAAGGCAAGTCCAAAGGGAGTTTGAAAAATGTTTTAAGCAATTGCCACGTACACTGAATTATCATACACTCTTCCAAGGTCGTTGCTTTGAAGGACAGTGCTCCTGGGCTGTAATAACACTTGGGCTGTTTGTTCAAAAGCAAAATCAATAGCAAGCTTATCTCATTATATTATAATCATATTTCATATAATCTTTCTTTCATATTTGTTTATTTCTACAATTAAAAGTCAAACTTTGGTTAAACCAGCTTTAAGAATCAGTCATTCTCTCTGGCCTGTAAGGTTTTTCAGTCACTTGGTCTACCTTTAACCTTTGTTTTACTTCTTCCTAGATGACAAGGCTAAGAACACAGAAATATTGCTTCTGGGAAAGAGACTTAGTTTCCTTTACTCTTGGTCTCTATGAAAAAAAAAATCAAGTGGTGATAGGGATATGATGAAAGTGTACTTCATTTATAATTAGAGTATATGCCTGACAACTTTGAGTTGGATCTTTGTTTCTGAAGAATCAGTTATAGCCTAGCACTTTTTTTTTTTTTTTTTAATGTTTAAGCTTTAAGATGTCCTTGGGTAAAAAGCATTTGCCTTTAAATCGTTAGACATGCAGACTCTGTGTCCTTCGCTTCACAATGGTGCCTGACAGGCAGGTAAATAACATGAAGCTTCCTTTAGAAAAATCAGTTATAAGTATTCAACTCAGAACCATCCGAAGTCTCCCTCAGACATGTAAACAAGACTGTTGGACGTGTTCGACGGAAGAGGATGAGGAAGAGGGTGGCAGGGGATGACACTGATGAAATAGTCCTTGGTACCCCCGTTCAGATAACTCTGCTTTTGTCATAATAATTTTGTTGTTCAGAGAGAGGAGGTTTTCCTGGCAGCTGCCTGTTTAACCTTCTGGAGGAGGATGAGTGGAGGGATGGAGACTGAAGGAAGCCACTTCCTAGATTTCTAATGATTTTTCAGTTCCTCAAGTGACTCTAAAGCTGCACAGAAACAATGCTGGTGTGGTTGGTTATGAGACACCGCAGGTGTGGTTGGTTGTGACACGCCGGGGGTGGGTTGTCTGTGACACGCCGGGTGTGTGGGTTGTCTGCGACATGCCGCGGGGGTGGGTTGCTTTATGATACTTAGCAAGCTCAGGGTCGTTTTTCTCCTTGAAAGAATTTTAATATTAAAAGCCACATTTGGATCTACATAAAACTGGAAATTTTCAGAATATATAAATAATAATAGTAATAACAATACAGTGTAAATGTATAAATTATAAGAAAAAAACAATAGAATAGATTATACGTAATATAATATATATTATAACAATATAATGGAAAAATAGAGGAAACAGGCCAAGTATATGAACAAGCAGTTCTCAGAGAATGAATTGCAAATGGCCAGTAAACAAACATCTCAGAAGATGCCCAATCTCACTATTAAACAGGAAAACCAAAAAATGTGATACTATTTTCTCCCAATCAAATTTGCAATATTTTACATGACTAATAATATCAAGTGTTGATGAGGATGTGGGAAACGAAGCACTCTCACACAGTAGCTCTCTTTGGAGGGTTGAGACTAAGGATTAAAACCAAAAGTGTGCATGACCCATGACACAGAAAGTCCATTTCTGATGATCTGTCCTCGACAAATACTTGCATGTTTGCATAAGGAATCATTTTATGGATGTTCACAGCAGCATTGTTTGAATAAAGAAATACTGGAAACAAATGAAATACCTATCAATGGAGAGAATGTCTAAAAAGTATACTATGTTAGTGTTGGAATACATGTGGTAATTAAAAGGAATGGACTCATACTGTAG